AAAAAACTCTCTTGATATTTTAAGAACAATTACAGAAGAATAAAATAAAGCATATTTCATTACCTTTTGAAACTTAAAAGAGTTCAATTTGAGCAGATGATTTTACCATCACTGTCATCGTCAGAGCGCACTTCCACAATATATTCAGCATCTGCCTCATATTCACGATCTCAACCATATTCTCAAAACTATCGTTTTCAATGACTTCATATTCAATATTTTGATCACTGCCATCTTATTCACCACATCCAGCATCAAATGACAGTGACATTTATATTTCATTGCGTATAGTAATTGCTCTGCAGTAAAGCCATTCAAACCACTTACATTTTTGCTGATGATATTCGTTTGTGTTATGCCTGCGGTAATTATGAGTGAAACATCACGTCATCATTGTGTATCAAACAGTGCCACCTTGTGGAAAAAAATATGCATTGCACATATTGCATCATCAGATATGTAAATATAGTTGCGCAGGAAAAAATACTTACACATTTACATACCACGGGTCTCTAGAGACCCTATACACTTTTTACAAAAAATTAATCAGAAAACTGGCATTCTTTTATATTTTACAATTTTTGTTGTTGTTATATTGTTTATAATTAATAGATTGAGGAATACTAAGAAAGTTGATGTCTAACATAGAGAATGATGTCCTGGGTCGCTAAAGACCCGAGGTATGCATTTAAGGGTTAAAAGGTGAAATGTTGACTCAAAAAAAGTTTCAAAATGTGATCATCTTGTGAGCTTCAGTGAAGTTAACCAGGAAACAAAGTTGTGTTGCTTACTGAGATATGAGTCTTCATCTCATTTGAGTGTAAATGATTTGTAACACATTTCAAAACTACTTTTTTTCAGTATATTTGGAAGAGTGCACATTTAAGAAAAACGTTTTGCATGCTTCGCTAAAAAGACTTTATAAAACAGGGAAACTATTAAAGGGTTAGTTCACCCAAAAATGATAATTAGCTTGTGTTTTACTCACCCTCGAAGCATCCTAGGTGTATATGACTTTCTTCTTTCAGACGAATCCAATTAATAAATGATATTTGCATAAAACAAACATTGAAACAGTTTGTTTGCTGTGTTTTTCCTTCAGTCATAGCTTTATTTATTTTTTTCATATTTTTCAAAAACATCTATAATAAAAGTTGAAGAAAAATTACAAAAGACAAAGAATACTGCCAGCAGTTGCTTCATTCTAAGTGTGTATTTGATTTTGTCGTGCTCACTCCCAAGCACTTTCACTTCACTTTGGTGTTGTAAATGATTCTACTCTGTATGCAAAAAAAAAAAAAAAAAAAACTTCTGTTCTAGCAGTTGCAGTTCCTTTAAAAATAGCTAGGGGAAAGATGTGCCTTTATGACTTATTTTAAACTGCTCTTTTCACAGATCCATAGAAAAAGATCACTACATGGATAATCAGCCCATCCTGGTGAATAAGTTAGAGCACAGTTCTCTCTTCTTCCTCCATTGGGCTCTCGAGGATCCCAGAAACTGAAAATACAGATCAGCATTAGATGTTCAGTTCTGCTTTCTGTGTGATATGATACTGACTGTGAGAATAATTTATTAGAAAATAATCAGTTCAATTCAGTGATTTCTCACCTAGAGGTCATGTTGGTGCCATCAACCCATTTCCATCTGCCCTCCACATCACTGTCAGTCAGACCAATCCAGACATTAGCATTAGCAGATATTTTCTTCACAAAATCCTGAGAAAATGAAACAATGACAAATCTTTATGTTAAAGTAATGATTTTTTTTCCCTATCGACTATAGTTACAAAATTAGTTTCACTCACCTGTTCCTCTCTGTTGTTTATGATGATCAGATCTGCTCTTCTCTCTGTGCAGCATCTTCTGCTCTCAGCCCAGTTCTTCCACTCAGAGGAAATGAAGTAAAGACTAGATTGATAGTTAATCCATCCATCTGTAAACACAACCAGTTCAACTATTAGCACTTTATTCCCATTACACTGATCTCCCAATAAGTGGTTGTTTTAGTTTTAATATAGTTCATAATTACCCTTTTCATTAATACTTTTCAACAGTTCATTTTTCTCCTGAGGTGGTCGGTATATTTGTTTAATCAGGTCACAGTTACTTGATAATAATCCATCTCTCTCTTTTGTCAGCTGCGTGTTCTTGTTTACTAGCTGGTGTCTCGCCTCTGTGAGGTTGGTGATCGTAGTTAGTAGTTGGTCTGTCTTTTCTGTGAGTTCTGTATTCCTGGTTAGTAACTGGTCTCTCTCTTCTGTGAGGTTGGTGATCTTGGTAAGTAGCTCTTTTCTCTCTTCTGTGTAGTTTGTGTTCTTTGTATGGATCTGGACACACAGCACTATGACTGCAGTCAGCAGAAGAACACACAACAGCACCAAACACACTGCAGCTGTTCTGTAGCTTCTGATCTTCACACAATCACTTCCTGAAGATAAATGTTTCTTAAACACTCATATAACTCAAATGTGTGTGTTATATGTGTGACAAATATGTGTTGTTATAATGAAATGAGTCTTGGTACCTGTGTGTTGAGGTGTTTGGTGTCTCCTGGTGTTCTCTTTTGCTGTCCTGAAATCATGAATGTTTACAGGAACTGCATTAGCATAGAGGTTCATCTTCAAGATGTATTCAGTCTGATGGTGGTAAATGTGAGGTTATTAGACGTTGTTGCTTCAAGTGGGCTGCACTGCTCTGAACTTTTGCTTTGAGCCTTTACTTTTATAAGGCACCTCTGTGGTTATGAACACGTGGTATCCTAGTAAGATGCTTTTTTGTAAGCTTTTTCTCTTGTACTCATTTACTGCAGTTCATAATGAAATGCACTGTAGTTACTCTTCATATAACTGTGCTCCTTCACTACAGTTACAATCTTTGTATAAAAACAGATTGGTTGAGAACTAGTTGCTTTTGGTCGCATGAATAAGCACTTCTCAGATGCTGATGCTGCAAATGTCACCAATGCCACAAGTCACACTGTAACACACTGTTACACCTATCAGAAGAACACCGTGCTTCTGCAATAAACAACTATATAAATTAAGTTACTTCTAATTTTTATTTATTTATTTATTATTATTTTTAATTACAAAAGATATTATCAGCTGAATAAGAGGAAATGTTGGATCGGAAAAAAGAACATTTCCTGCCCTGGGTTGATACAGTGAGCACTTACATGTCAGATATTTCCTACAAACTACTTGATTTAAAATACTGATATTAGTTTTCATCTTCTGTGAGTGTAACATATTTTCAAAGTACTCTTAATTTCTTTAGGGGTAAAACATTTGTATGTGGATGAAATTACAAATAATGTGTCTTTAAGGAAAGCTTTTGACATGCTGTACAAAAAACACTTTAGAAGAAGTGAAACTAATAAGTGGTTTCTCTTACTAAGAGACATTTCTTCACATGAGACATCTTTATTGTATCACAGCATATTGGCATGATCATGTCACAAGGCCCTTATAATGTGATTAAAATGTGTTAGTAGCTGTTATAATAAAATCAGTACATGTGTGTTGGGCTGCTTGGTGTTTGAGTCTCTTCCTGACAACATGACTGTTTATAGGATCGGCATTAGCATAGATCTTCATCTCTTTGTCATCTTCTCTTGAACTTCATCTTTTTTTTTTTTCTCCACCCTGGGTTGATAAAATGAGTATTTACATGTCAGTCAGACCTTTTGTGCCCTTTAAGCTATTAAGCTACTGATGTGTGGAGTCGTCATATCATAAGAGATCACATCATCTCAATGTTTTTCTATTTGCATTCATATTTACATTTATGCATTTGGTATACACTTTAATCCAAAGCGACTTACACTGCATTCAATACAGATAGATAGATAGAAAGTACATTATTTGGTAAAATTTGTTCTACTAAGGGAAGTGTTCTGGTTTTGAGCTTTTGCAGCTGTGGTCAGGAACATGTGATATCCTGTGCCGACATAAAAAAAATCTTGAGCTCAACCTTCATTTTTACCCCTATTATGAAGTTACTGTACTCTGCCTTTGCATTATCTGCAAAAAAGTGAGATGTCACGCCAAAGCAAAAGGCAGTAACTTCCACATTATTAATATTTGGTTGCTGATCACCATTTACAAAATCATTATAGTAACACCTGTATAAAATCTAGTGATCATGGGCTTATCATTCCTTTTCCTTTTAGTTTCCTACAGCTATTAGGACCTTTTCGTTTTACTTTTACCTTATTTTAGTTTGTTTGACCATCACCATCTTCCCTCTCAGTATAGGATTATAGCAGTCCTAGCAACTGTCATATCCTTAATGAGCCATACAGGTTACTAGTGATCCTAATATCATAGGCTATAACATATAGTAATGTGACTGTATTAATTGTTTTTCTGACTGTAACAACCATACAAAAAGTTAAACATGTGAATGGATACCGTTTTGAATTTATTTGCAATGTTCACTAACGTAAAAGAATGCAAGATATAGCCTAATTGCTTTTGCATCGAATTGAATGAAAATAGCCTAACCTAAGAAAACGACTTGTGGGTTAATGTGAATGCCAGCAAGTAGGAATAATGCTCAGAATGCTTGTGGATTAAACATCTCCAATGACATTCATTGCCATGGATTTTATTGAGTTACAAGGAAAGGTAGGATATGGATTTAATTGTGAACTGTTACTGATTTTATGTGTGATACATGCTATACTGTCACTGCATTCGAGTCCACACTCGTGCAACTAGAAGTGGGCAGCCTCAGACTGACAGGCTGGCACAGAGTGAATAATCTGCATTATAAAAAGTAAAAAAAAACTTTAAAGATTATTTACGATTACTTATTGTTGCCAAGTTATCTTGTCTTTGCTTGTTTACAGTGCTTTGTGAACAGTTTGGTAGATTGCAATCTATCTAATTCCTTTGTCTAATGAAGTGCTTCAGTGACAGATGAATGAAAGTACACAAGATACACTGTAATTTAAACATGACAGACTTTAATGGACAGTAAAACAAAAGCAGAATACCGTATAACTCCAGACCGGCACAGTAACTTCATACTGACGCCTGGATAGACAAAGGCAGAGCACTGTAACTCGATTTGAGCGTTCCAAAACAACGTCAAAGAGCGGTAACTGGTGTTATACGGTGTATATTTAGCTTACAAAAAATAAAAACAAGTACAATTTTATTGTATTTTTTTACCTGTTTCCTATTAGTGAATACATTACAGATTTTATTTTAAGATGTTTTTCTCTCACATATCCATTTAAAATCTTCTTCACATGAATAGTCACGCCACCCTGATGAAGAAGTCACAACACAGTTCTTCTTCACTGTCTCCATTTGGCTCTCCAGGCTTACAGAAGCTGAAACTGCAGATCAGCATTAGATGTTCAGTGCTGCTTTCTGTGTGATATGATACAGAATTTGAGAATCTTTTTATTACATAATAGTCAGTTCAGTCAGGACCACTTTCGTCAAAGAATATTTATTACAATAAAGCATAATGTTGGTGGAATGGTTCTGTTCTGGGCGAACTCCACACGCCCGTCCATGCAGCCATGCCTAAACATAGCGGGGAGAGCAGCAAATCAAACCCCCTTGGGGTAACAGAACAGATCCAGTAATCATGCATCCATGAAACAATTCACAATTTAACATGAGTTGTAGTAAACATCCAGATACATAGAGGATGATTGCCATGTACTCAAACACCTCACATATCAGATTTAAATACATAAATCCCGGCTAGGAGGAGTTTGGAATGGAGGAGGGAGTTAGAAGTGGCGTGCAGCCAAGCAGTAGAAGAGGGGCTGAATGAATAGGATTTAAATAGACCGCTGTAATAGGTGTCGAATCTGGATTGGTACACGTCAGGAACAGCTGATCGTCAGCTGATGCGAGCTTGACTGACGTGGCCTGCCTGAACTAACGTGATGCTCGATTTTAATTCAGTGATTTCTCACCCAGAGGTCAGTGTGCTGCCATCAACCCATTTCCATCTGCCCTCCACATCACTGCCAGTCAGACCAATCCAGAATTCACCATAATTTTCAAAAAACTCCTAATTAAAGAATATAAGTGAAATAAGGTTTTAATATGTTAACTAAGATATTTTGAATCAATGTTTTACTCACTTTTTGTTCTTTGCTGTTTATAATCATCAAATCTGCTCTTCTCTTCGAACAGTCTTGTTTGCTGTCATTCCAGCTCTTCTTTGTAGAGGAAATGTAGTATAAACCGGATTGATAGTGCATCCATCCATCTGGTAACACAACCAGTTTAGTTACAAGCTCTTTGTTTTCATCCACACTGAACTGAAGCTTACCAATAACAGCTTGTATGCACAACACACATGTTGCATCTTTTTAATATTGAATATTTGTGTAGCTTTAGTGTAGTTCAAGATTACCCATTTCTTGAAGTAGTTTTTTTTCCTCAGTCATTTCGTTATTGGCATTCACTAATACATCCTTCATATTTAAACGGTCTTGGAACTCGGCAATTAGCTAATTTCTTGTTTTATTTAAGATTACCTCACTGTCTTCATACTGGTAAGTCTTAGTTCTGTGTTATATGAGCAGAAAAATAATCACCTCCAGCAGAAGAACACACTGCAGCACCAAATACACCGTAGTTTTTTTGTGTCTTTTGGTCCTCACAGAATCACTTCCTGAAAATGACGGATATGAAGATAACTGTTTCTTAATTAATCACATGACTAAAATGTGTTTGTTAGTTATTGTTATAATGAAATGAGTCTTAGTACCTGTGTTGTTCTTCTTGCACATTTTCGGTCTTTTAGAGTAAAATCGTTAAAGTTGCTGGTGTGTGGACTGCATCGCTGTGTACTAATACTTTGAGATGCTGAATGTTAACTACACCGCTGTGACCGCACTGAGCACTCATTTCCTGTTTGTTTAAATGATACATATCTCCAAACACACACACCAGAAGTTTTTTTGTAGACTGCTAGAAAAACTATGTCGTTTACCCTTTAATTGCATTTACATTTTCTGATTGAAATGCATTATTTAGTGATAGTTCACCCAAAAATGAAAATTCTGTCATTAATTACTCACCCTCATGTCGTTCAAAACCCATAAGACCTTCGTTCATCTTCAGAACACAAATTAACACAAATAAAATTTAATGAAGCTACAAGTATAATTTTTGTATGCAAAGAAAACAAAAATAATGACTTTATTCAACAATTTCTTCTCTTCCATGTGGTGCTGCTGACGCAGGAGCCGGTGTTCATGGCATAGAACGCCCATCTCTCAAAAAATTTCAAGTCATCCTTTCTGTCGAAATCTTCAGATATGTTTACGAAGACTGTTTTATTCTGCTTGTAAACAAGGTGCAGCGCATCAGGGTTCTATGTCAGAACGCCGGCTCCTGGGTCAGCTCTCGGATTTCATCAAAAATATCTTAATTTTTGTTCCAAAGATGAACAAAGGTCTTACGGGTTTGGAACGACATGAGGGTGACTAATTAATGACAGAATTTCCCTTTTGGGTGAACCAACACTTTAAATGTGAATTGTTAAAGGGGTCATATGATGAGATTTCAATTTTTCCTTTCTCTTTGGAGTGTTACAAGCTCTTGGTGCATAAAGAAGATCTGTAAAGTTGCAAAGACTA